TACATTAGTTTACATAACATTTTGAATGCAAATTATTGAATGCAAACACAAAACATTGTTTAGATTACAGACATATTCGTTGCGATGCATACAATGAATGACTGATTATCTCTACTTTTCCCTCATCTCTCGTAGGCCTGAGTGTGTCGAAAGAGTCTGTACCGCACGGATACATGAGTCTGCCCTCACCTAATGTTCAGTCAGAGGTAAGCATTCACTTCATTCTCACTTATTAAGGCTATACTTCACATCTTTTGTCCGCATTTTTCTATTCAATATCAAATCAAACATCAAATATAAAGTTATACTGTATTTGAAGTACAACTTACATGAAATCATATATTTCTTGACAAACTTTATACACTTATAATTGTTTTATTGATGAGCATTTCAACCAAATAATTGATATTGATTTTTATAAATAGTTACATATTAACATTTTTATGTTTCAAACTATAAATTAGTTTCCATGAAATCATCAATGTCAAAATATTCAATTCAATAGAAGCTACTAAATTAAAATTTATTAATTTAATGCTTTTGACAAACATGATACATTTTATCTACTATTATGATAATAATTTATTATAACGCCTATTAATGTAATAGTTTTACAACAAATTCATCAGATTTATCATAAATCTTAGGTTAATGTAATCAATGATTAAATATTTGCTTAATTTATAGCCTTAATCCTGGAGCTTTATGTCATTTATTTTTATGACTTCATAAATAAATTTATAAAGATTTTGTTCATCACATAAATTTTATTTTAAAAGCAAATCTTATTTTTTAGATTCTTGTGGATATTATACCACAAAACTCTTAAATTGAAGTAAAGTTTTGCACACAAACTGCTGAACTTTATATAGTTATTATCAAAATGTACGAAAAAATGTAATAATTAAGAGATTGTGATTTTACGTATATTTTAGGCTAGAGTTGCGTCGAAATTGTTTCTAAATTTAACGATTGACTTTTATATAACTTAATATATGACTAAAATTATTATAGTATAATACCCTCACTTATAAATGGGTTTGGATTAATGGCACCCATAATTTAATATGTAACCTTTCACTCGTAATTATTTCTTAATCAATATTTAACCAAAATTAACTTATATTAACTTATGGTATAATATAAGTCTTACTGTCAGTGAATGAATGAAATAACCTATAATTAGCGAAGTCTTTGTTTTTAGACTATTTATATAAATTTAATTTAATGTCTTTAAATTATAGCATGTTTCTCAAACCTAAAATTAAAATACTGTTTAATAAATAAAATATTATGTTAGTAATTAGCTATAATTTGATAAATTTAGTTAATATGATTATATATTTAGTCCATATTTTTCTGAGAATATTTTTTATTAAAATCTTATATTTTAGCTTTAGGTTTAACTTTTATATTTTTTTAGTAATAATTAATAACTTCATAACTCTTAGTGATAAGAATTAAAGAAATATTTATTTATATTCTGACGAATATTGTGTACTTAATATTTAATATACAATATTATTTTTTTTTGCCAAAAGCAAAATAACATGAAATACGAAATGAAATGAAAAAAGTAATATGCTGTGACTGTTGAATATAAAATGAAGTGTCCTACACTGTAGTAACTTAAACTTAAATCCATTTATTGCCAAATAATTTATTCATTCATTAATGTAGGATTTATTCAATACTGTATCGCACCAGTTTTAAAACAAACATGGTTAAGCAGAATTCATTATCTGATTTACTGTAATTACAAGTGTCTTACTTTATAATACATTTGAGTGACTTATAACACAATTTTGATATAAATCTTAAACTGCAATATGTTTTGAAAGTCAAATCATTTTAAAGTGAGAATTATTGAAAACTACACATGAATTTCTTATTTTTATGCTAAACTAAACTAAGAATTCTTTTAAATCTGTCTTTCCTATTATTAGCTCACTTCACAATACAGTTTGAATAATTTAACAGTTTTTAAGATTCATTTGCAAATATATTAAATTCAGAAAACAGGAAATCCTTTCTTAAGCACATGTGGGCCCGACATCTCTCTCTCTCTCTCTCTCTCTCTCTCTCTCTCTCTCCTTAACGTAATATTATTTTATTCAAAACAAAACTCCAAACACGACTTTAACGATGTAATTGAATTAAAATGCAATTGAATTGAAAAATATTCAACAACAATCTTGAATTTTAAAATAAATTATATTCTTTGAATATATGCTGAGAATATAAATATATCTAAAAATACACGATTCTATCATAAATTCTTTCAATAAATTTTTGCGCTCAGAAAACAACTGTAAAATAAATTGCAATTAAAATATTTGCGATTAAAATATTTGCGATTAAATGGATATGTGTTTAGAAATAACTGACAGAAAAATACGAGTCAATTGTTTTTGAGGATTCAATTTTGTGCTCATTTTGATTGTTTGGCTCAAAATAGATCGCTATATTAATTGTAATTAAATACTAAGCCCTGTATATGTTTAATCCCAAACCCCGTGTGCAGTCATGTGAACGCATTATTTATATTGTCATCAATTGTTGAAAAATAAAAATATTTCACTAATTTAATCAAATTTCTCATATAATTTTCATTAACTTTTATTTCACTTAATTTATGCACTAATGATCCAAATGTTAGTTTAATTAAATAATTGGTAAGAAAATTAATTCATAAGACTAGTGCATAGGAGACTAAACTAAACATTTAATTTACAGGCAATGTTTTGGTCGATATTTTGAGCGTATGTAAGGATTTAAATAATTTCTTAGCTCACAAAACATACATTTCTGTATTTCTTATATAAACACTTATTATTAAAGCCATTCATCAGTAAAGTATTAGCATTATAATTGGTTTAATAATAATTATACTTTTCCATAATATTATTATTAAGTTTAATGTAGAATATTATTATACACTATAGTAATTATTTTCTTTAGTAAAACACGATGATTTATCAACATGCATAATATGTAAACAATTATAATGACAAAACAATTTATTAGAAAATTTTATATTTTTAATGATTCCAATTAAATATTCATTTGTTTTCATTTAAACGGCTAACAAGTCCATGCATTTGTTGCAACTAATTGTACTAACCATATGAATAAAATACAATAGTCTAATATTTGTTTCAGTCATCTATTGTATTACTGTTTACGTAAGCTTAAGATAAACAGATGATTATTCAATAAAACACTAATACTGTAGTTTTAGAGGGCCAAGGTATCGTAGAGACAATGCGAGCTTGATCATTCGAACTGGATAGTCTAAAAATCACCTGGGCCTCGAATCATTTATCCATAATTGAAATGGAAATGCCACATTTAAACTGAACACTGTACATTAAATCAATAAAATTGAATATCCAACTATTTGATAGTATTGGAAATTAAAATTTTTTATTTAAAAGATATTCAACTTTCATATTTATTTAAAAATTTAAAGTGCCAGTACATATTCTTGTACATGCCATGGCATACAAATCTTATTGCGAATCCTATGCAATCAAAATTTCAATCCCACTAAACATTGATTCAATTGCAAGATTTCTTATATTTGAAAACTCCTACATTTCAATCAAATTCATATTAAATTGATGTATACATGAGCTGGTATTTGAAACCCATTTTAACATTAATGCAAAAAATATGCCACACGTTGAGTGCAACAACAAAAAATACTTTTTTAAAACCTCCAAAATATAATATAATATAATATATGAGTTTATATTAAATATCAATGGTATGCATGAGTGCTGAATACAAAGTAAAGTAATCATCAAACTTATATATGATACAGTACTTTCATAATAATTATTGACTCAATATTAGAAATATCTTTATATAACATATTTATCAAGGGAAAATTGTATAATTATTTAAATAATAAAAATTATAAATGTATATAAAATAATCCCTTTTTATAATAACTAATGCTCTGAAAAAAGCCTTTTTGTGATGTCAAGAATTTCGCCTGAAATGTCACTTAGCAGTAAAGCGCTAATTATTATAACTGTTACTTAACTCGTAATCTGAGTGACTTTTTATAAAACATAAAAAACATCATTTAAATAAAGGCTCCTATATTCATCATTACAATTATTTTGCATTTAATGCTTACATGTATTTAAAACCCTATGTTTGATATAAACCGGTATATTCGGCAATACTTTACTTTACAGTTGAGCTGAGTTTGCAATGAAAAACATCATTAGATTAGAAATAGTCTTTCTTTTTTGTAAATCTGTTTGACGTTAAGCTTCACTTGTTTTCATCAATAAAATAATATTTTAAAGAATTTCTTCACAATATTCTTTACATTACACAATACAGTACTGTATATACTATATGGCATATAAACCATAATATGATTCAATATTATTGTATTTTGTTGTAATTCTATTGAGAAAAAGTGTACTTTTTATGACAAATACTGTACCAATAAACTGCACTTCAAACACAATTGCAATAAGTTTTGGCTTAAAATTGACTCAAAACTTACAAGCTGTAAAAATTGAAATAACTTTTATGTATCAAAACTACTGTATTTATCTGTTCAACTATAAGGCATTGCATGAATTTATGTGTCTAAAAGTCAAGTACTGTATTCATATGCTAGCTCATTTTGTTATTAATTTAAATAGTAGATCAAATACGATCAAAATAGTAGATAGGAAGTTAGAAAAGGCTTTGAAATAACTGTTTGAATACAATGAATAGGTTTAAAGAGCGTATGACATGTAACCAGATTTACACGACTATTATATTAGAGACATTCAATCGATTATTTACTTAAAAAGAAAACTTATTCCTTCTCTCAGAGAGTATTCATATCTTTCGCGAAATTACTGTTTGTTTTACGCTTTCAGTATTGTTTGGGCCCATAACGCAAGTCATTTATAACACTCTAATCTCTTTTTACGACAATAGATGCAAAATTTTAAATTTCCAAATATTCCAGTGTGTTTGTGATTATATTTTATATCATTTATTTCGAATAGCATGCATGTATCGTTAGTAGTAATACTGCATTTTATTTTTTAAAATATAAAAATTGCAATTTTATCAGAATGTATCAAATATTTTTACAATCTAAATAAAAATAACAGTAGCTTTAAATAATATTTAATATGAAAATACTATGCAGTTATTTTTGTATTTAACATTTTCCATGATAAAAATACACTTTAATTTTGTTTAAAGTAATGAAACACTAAACTCTACCATGTATTATATTTATAAAAGTTAATATGTTCTAGTAAAAATTATTTTAAGGAATATCATTGAAAATTTGTTATAATATAAATTTCTTTACAGTGAAGTATCAAAAATATGATTAAGACTTTCAGAAAATGCTTCACATATTTCTCGATAATACTTATAATATTATTTTTCAAAACCTGCAGTACTTATGATTTTGGGAAATTTATAATACATTTTGTGCATCAAATCTTATTTATGGATAAGACAATAGATTTTTCATATAATACAGTATAAGCCATATAAATTTTATATAATATAATACATAAGTCTATTGCCATTCAAATGTTTCTTTCATAATATTTGTGAACAACGATAACGTGACTCGACTCCCAAGTCATGGTTCGCAGTTTTATAAATTTATTTAAATATTTGTCTTTAATATGTAAATCATGACAAATGCCTTAAATTTTTTATTTATTAGTTTTGATTTAATATAAAACTTTTATTTAATTTGAATGGTCTGAATACCAAGAATACGTATTCCCATCGTCTATTTAATCCTATGTTTTCTGGTTTTTAAAACTTTGCGCACAAAACAAGGAATTTATAATAATTTTATTGTTTCCCTTGTCTTTCACTACATTTGCATTCAATTTAGACTCATATGTTTTGCGTTAACTAAATGAATACGATTGCAAAACAGATAACATATAAGTTATATATATTGGCAAACATTTATTGTAAAAAGTTGCTTTCCATTGTCTAATTCTGTAAATACAAATAAAGTCTGAAAACCCCTATTATTGAACTTAAGTTGAATTTTTTATTAATACCGCACTTTACATGCAAAGTGCGTTGATTAATATACGATAGCTATAACACGAGTTTTGCAGTTTATTTATAAAAATAAGTTATAATATGTTATAATATTATATATGAGTTAATTCCACTCCAGTAGTGCAGTAAGTGATGCAAATCCTTAGCAACCTCTACACCTTAATAAGTGCTATGCTCTGAAGGCATAACATTATCATAATTTTTATCATACCATTACCTAATGTCTTGTGATTCCCCACACCGAAGGCAACGCAACTTTTTAATCAATTTTTGCATTTATATACACCAAATGAATGGCTCGCATCGATCAAAGTGACAATCAAAATGTTTTTAAAAAGTTATATCTAAAAATGTATGCTTAATATGGTTGGTGAAATAAATATCATATATTAATCTCTAGTCGCGTAGTGAACACAGAATTTGTAGTTAAATATAATTTAATAATGTAGTGAACACTGGGCAAAAACAAAGTGTTATTCAAAATGGCATTATTAAAGTCAGAATATATTAGAGAACTACAGTTAGAGGCCATGAGAGCTGCCATTTCGCGTCATTATCATCAGTTTGATGGCCTCTCGTGGAAATGGAGAGCATTTATGATCACTTTAAACCAACCGATTTGCTTCTGTTCCTCTCGTTTCTCCACTTCTCCCGTCTATTATGCCGTCAATTATTTACATTTCATAAAGAATGTAAGTCTAAGGCTTAAGAATATTCTTATGGTATATATTGATATATACAGTAATGTATGGGAAATGTGAAAGGTTTGTTAGGTTGAGCCCATACATTACTGCATTTTCAAACATGCATTTAATTGTTTTTAAATTTGTTGTCAACAATATATTCTCTAAAAGTTTTAAGCGTTAAAAGTTTATGCTTAATGTGTTAAAGTATTTCAAATTGGGATTTAATTTTACATTCTACTACTTATTGCAAATGTATTTATGCATAAATAAATTAAATCCTATTTAATTTGATGTATTCAATTGTATTTTTCAAATTTTTTTTGTATAAAAAGTTATAAAGTGTTAAAAATATTACAACTATTTTTAAAAATAAATATAACGGAATTCATTTTACAAATTTTACAAATTACATTTTGTAGATTAAGATTTAGATTAACTTATTTATTAAATACTTAACATTTAACTTTAATTTACAGTTAAAATATTTAACTTATAAACTATGATTTATGAATAAATATAATTATTTTGTAGCATTCAAATAGATATTCTTACTTTTTTATTAAAATTTATTTATTTATTTATTCTTTATGAATTATAATTTTAGAAAATCATTTCAAGTTGCCTACAAGTTTATAATTTTATAGTTTATATTTATACTTGTGACTCACCTTTGCATGACATTAACTGACTTTTTAATTTCATAAACAAACATTTATCAAACATAATTACTTTTAATACTAAAATTCCTGAGAAATAAGTGAATTTTCTACCTACAAGTGACCTAATAAAAGCATTTTACGACATATATAATATTATATAATATCTCAATAAAATGTTATTAACTCTGAGTTCACTCAACGAGTTATTTGACGACAATATAAATAAAGGGAAAGTAATGCTTTGCTCCAAATGCTACACAAAAAGTGCATTTCTTTCTAATATAAGATCACGAATGCAAACGATTTGTGTGTTTTGATGGCACTGATGGCACAAATCTCTTGGCCTCTATCTGTCTGTCTGTCACGACATTGTGAGACGACAGTCATAATTACGCACCTGAGCTGAGCTGTGGTGCTGAGCTCCGGCACCATATCCCACGACCGCGGGTTTCAATCAATAAGAACGCGATGAGTGTCACAAACATCTGTCTCAGAGAGTAATGAATATCTTTAATGGTTTTCTGTCACAACTCCACCCAAACTCTATCCTTACGTTTCCTTACATGTGGTTCACGAATATCTATTGCAAAGTCTACTCTGTGTCGACAACTAATTTGCTGGAAAAGACATCCCTTTTGTGCTTAACTCTAACTCTTCCTGGTTTTTTAGGCCGTTATCTATTTGTTGGGTCCGAAACCATATGTACAGCACTTTCGCTGCGAAAAACTTTCTTTTATAGTTGTCTTGTGAGTGGAGTTGAGACACAAATTCTTATTGAATACCAAACTAATGGATTGCTTTTATTCAAAAACACAGTTTCTTTCTTCAATATATATTCTTATATTTGTTTAGTTTAGTAGCGATTGAATTGAATATAAAGATAAGCTTAGCTTCAAATCGACAAAATTGGTTGAATTGGGCCTAAAATGCGTTTATTGACAGTTAGTTTTTGTGCATTTTCTCACACGTTTTTACTATTTATATCATTTATTTATTTGCTTATGTATTGAACTTATTTTATGCCAAATATTCGTTCGTACGATAACTGATTGAATGGTTGTAGGGCTCGGATGCAAACCCTGTATTCAAGAAGCTATCAGCTCTGGGACGCAGAGTCGATGGCGTGGAGAGTGAGCGCGAAGACGAGACTATTCACGACGAGCCGCCGGCCTCTGCTCTACACCGGAGACGAGCTCTCGTGCCGCCGAAGCTCATCACCGATGGCTACGAGAGCGCCACCGATGACCTGGAGGCCAATCACCCGACTAGTACTCAAAACTCCCATTTGTATGTATTGTTTGACAATTAAAATAGCATTACTTTACATAAAATATTAAATTATGAATAATATATTTTGTAAAGACTTGGAGAACCGGTCAGCCATAAGAACCGCCGCCGAAGCTCTATTGTAGTGATACCTCCGATGCAGATCTGCCCGGGTATGGGTCCGCACACTTTCAGTGCATTTGCAGTGAAAATAAATGTTGTTTTTGTGTAACAAATTTCAGGCGATTTATTGGTTTATAGTAAAGTATTGACGCAAAGGAACAACTTATTGGGTGAGACATTAGTTTCACTTTATTTT